CTTTCACCCAACAAAAGCCATGGAGCACTCCCTTTATTTACTCCCCTACTTTCCACTGGCGGAACAAAAAGTGGTCTTTTATTGGTGGGGGTTGCAAGACAACAGGTGCTGAATTTTATCTACGGTGTACTCTATGTGATTTTTCTTTATGTTATAAGTGCGCCACCATTCCAGATAAGCTACACTACAAATATGATGAACATCCTCTCTCCCTTTGCTATGGAGAAGAAGTCTCAAATGAAACATATTGGTGCGAAGTATGTGAAGAGAAACTAGATCCAAGCATATGGTTCTATACATGCAACAAATCTAACATCACTATCCACCGTAGTTGTGTATTTGGGTCTTCTGCTTATATGAAGTCAGGCTACACGTTTTATCACTACTATGTGACGGTGAAAGTTCTCAACAATAACTATAACACTCGACCGATTTGTCGTCGATGCGAAGGTCGTTGCTCGAGTTATGTATTCAAGTTATCTGATGGGAAGATATTTTGTTCTCATGATTGTTTAGGACTTTATATTCTTTGTTGATGAGGTAGTATGGGACATGTATGTGTGTGTGTTTTCCTGTGAAACTTGTATTCCCACTACTCTTAAAGAATAAGAAGAACATTTTCAAGTTGACAATTATGGATGTATCATCGTTGACATTATCATATGATTGTGTTACTTACAGCTATGCAATATCATTACAAGATCTTGTGTTGATTTAAAAAAAAAAAAACTGAATAGGGATTGATCCAAATTGTTCTAAGACAATAGGATTATTAGAATGTGTTTAGAATAGTATTGATTTGTGTCGAGAACTTTTCACACCAAAATTTGTCACATTGCCATCATTATTTCCAAAGTTGTAAGAACAGGGCAGCTTGTTAAGAAACCTAATGAGGGGAGCCTTGTCTTTATACACCACAAAAGTAAATTTGAACTAGTAATGTAAAGGTCGCTCCTTTTTCACGAATCAAATAAGAGACCGATCAAGTTGTGACTATTTTTGATGATGAAAATCTCGAAGCTTTTCGATGGGCTTTGACTTTTCCTGGGTTTATCCATTCTCGTTCCACTTACCGTGCTCTGTTCATAAGCTTTGTGTTTTCCGACGTTTTGATAGTGGCTTCTGGGTTTGGACGTGCTCGGTTGACCAAACGTGTGATTAGTGTCGTTGATCTGGTTTCAAGATTTGGTATCAAACCATCTTTCAAAGTTTTCAATTCGATTTTGGATGTTTTGGTCAAGGAAGACATTGACATTGCTAGAGAGTTTTTCACAAGGGAGATGATGGATAGTGGATGGTAGCAAATTTGTACAGGACATGGCTGCGATAGGTTATGTTCCTGATAGAGAAAAATACAATCACTTGCTCGAAGAATTGTGTGTGAAGGGTGATATTCAGAAGGCTTGGTTAACTTTCTCACGAATGGTGGAGAAGAGTATTGTCCCTGATTCTTCTATGTGGAGTTCACTGATGTTTTGTCTCAGCCAGAAAACAGAGGTCCACCTAAACACCTTATTGCAGGACATAACCTCAAGTTAAAGCTAGAGGCAGTGACAACTTTTATATGCTTGTGGTGCTCCAACTTGAGCTCTTGATAGTGCATCTGCAACAAATACAAAAATGGCTCCAAACTGGTAAGCAGAGAGATCAAAACCAATATATATACACACAAAGCTATATATACATTGAATCAACGTCTCAAGGGCGAAAATCCCATCTATATCACGACAACATGGTAGTCCTCTCCTCGATTGTATTTTAAGCGTCAAATTAAAACCATATCATCTGCCCTTAACTCATACCTGGAAAAAAAGAAGGAAATGCAAAACATAGCAAGAGCCTAGAGATGCAAACAAGTAGCCTTTCTTCTTCTTCACAGCAAATCAGTGAAGTTATCTGGCAGCTCCTCAACCTCCACATTGTAGAATTTCTGAATATCAAACAGCATTCTTTCATCGTCAACAGTGACAAAGTTAATTGCAACAATCTTTCTCTCGAACGTTCCAGTGTTTCTTCCAATACGGTGAAGGTAAGCCTCCGGCTGAGCTGGGAGGTCATAATTTATGACCACAGAGACTTGCTGCATCACATCAATACCATCATCCAAGATATCGGTTGTGACTAGAACACCAGCTGCAGACCTGAATTCTCTCATTATGATGTCTCTTGTGTTTTGGTCCATGTCTTTATGAGTTGCTGAGACTGTGTGGTCACGCCTTCTCATTGTTTCTGTGAGCCACTCAACCTTACGACGACTGTTAACGAAGGTGACAATCTGAGTGACAGGTATAGTCTCAAAAAGTTCGCAGAGAGTCTCGAGCTTCCACTCTTCTTTCTCCACGTTCACGTAGAATTGCTTGATACCTTCAAGTGTGAGCTTGTCACGTTTCACCAAGATTCTCATCACTGGTTTGCTCATGAATTTCCTTGTGATATTAAGAGCTTCTGGTGGCATCGTTTCTGAGAATACTCCAACCTGCATCTTAGGTGGGAGAAGCTGGAATATGTCATAGATCTGCAAATTCCACCAGAAAACCAAGTCATATTCATCCCTGTTTAAAATAACAACCATACTAATCAAACTTGGTAAAGGTAAAAGACAAACCTGATCCCTGTAACCACGGGAGAGCATTTCATCAGCTTCATCAAGGACAAACATCGTAATGAAGTCAGAATGAAGAGTTTCTCTTCGAAACATGTCAAACACACGACCAGGAGTTCCAACCAAAACATGAACACCAGCCTTGACAATGTTCTGATCGTCACGGCCTCTACCTCCACCAAGAATGGCGTGAACCTTGACGCCAAGGTATTCACCAAGGGCGCGCATGACCTTCTCAATCTGCTGAGAAAGCTCTCTGGTGGGAGCCAAAACGAGAGCCTGGCACTGGACAAGGTTATAATCAAGCTGCTGCAAGATGCCAGAGCCGAAACTGGCGGTTTTAGCAGTACCGGACTGTGCCTGGTGGATAACATCAAGACCCTTGGAAAAGGGTACAATTCCTCTTTTCTGAACAGGACAAGGCTTTTCCAAACCGTAAGCATAGATACCCTTAAGAAGATTATCTTGCAAGCCCATGGCATCAAAGCTCTCATGGACCTCATCATACGAGATGAAGAACTCATCATCATCATTGTCATCTCCCTCTTCGAGTACTTCGTACTCTTCGTTTAACATCTGGTCAAACTGACCCGTATATGTTGGAGCAGATCCTGCCATAAATGTGTATGATGAATACTCGATTCGTGTGATTTTTCTCTCTCTCTTCTCTTTTCCTTAGAACCGAAATCTGGATTAGGGTTTTGTAACTTTTGATGGAAGCAATATCTAATGAATGAATGAAACTTTCTTTGTCCTGCTGCTCTTTACACACACACAAACAAAAGAAGGTTTGTGATTGTCTAGTTATTATAGTACGTAAATTGGATTATTAATCTCGACTGTCTATGAATTTATTAGTCGGCCAACAACATTAGAAACTGAGAGTGGACTATATCTTATCTTATTTGGCAAAAACCATCACCCAACCCCAAAACAACTTTGCACGGCTATCATGGGAACCAAACATCGACCAATTAAGTCAAAGATGAGTAAGTTAATGGTCATTATCGATCTTTAACGTGGATCCGTCCTTGTAAACTTCAATAATAAGTAAGATCGAAACAGCCTGTAAACTCTTAATCTTGTCTTATTGTACAAAGTATATTATTTCAATTTCCCTAACAGCCTGTTTAATTGTAGTCATATCATATAATATTATGATCACAGTTATTTCATACACAGACAGCCTGGAGACATGTCTAGGGAGTGAGAAGTCAGCCATGATTTTATTTAATTAATCACAAGTTGCAGATCAAAATTATTTTTTTGGGTCCTTCTAAAATATTATCGTGGATATGGACAGTCTGGAGACATGTTTCGAGGTAGGGAAAAACTAAGTCATTATTTTGATCACTAGTTGCATTTCTATATGATTATACTATTTGGGTCATTCTTAAGAATATAAACTGATATTTGTGTTTGCCAGCACCCATATATACACACTATCTCATATTGTTGTATCAAATAACAATCAAAAGAGAAGAAAAAAAAAAAAAAACAAGAAGCTAATATAAAGAGAGAAAAAGAAAATCATGTCTTATGGCCAAGAGGAAGAGGAGGAGGTGGTATGCCGAATGTCACATCCAGCTCATCCTCACACCCTCTCCCCCCGATACGGTTGTGCGGCTTGTTTTAGATGTGAAATGCGTCTGTATAATCGTCTTTTCTATTATTGTAGCACATGTAAAGTGGAGATGCACGATAATTGTTGTAAGATGCTATCGAAGATGAGACACCCTTATCACCCTCAACATCCTCTCATCCTGAGTATAGAAGGTAGAACCCAAACGTTGTACTTCCGCTCCTATAGCGATGACAGCGATGAAGATAGTTCCTTCGCCCGCTCTGTTGTCATACCACCCTGCACTTGGTGTGGAGAAGAATTGTTTGAAAAAACTTCTCACTACGGATCTCATTATTACCAATGTTCTCTCTGTGACTTTGGTTTATGTACCACTTGTGTCGCAAATTTCCCACTTCCTACTATCTCTAATCCAAAAAGCCATCACCACTCACTACATTTCCTTCCTCGACCACTTTTGCTTCCATGTGATGCTTGTGGGTTGGTAGATAGATCTGACCCAAGTTATGTTTGTTTTCATTGTAACTATGTGGTCCATAAGAGTTGTATAGGCTTACCACGCGTTATAAAACTCACCCGTCACCCTCATCGTCTTTTTTACACTCCTTTTCTCCCACCCAAAATTACATATTCGTGTCGTCTTTGCTACAAAACAATCGACAACAAGTATGGGCAATATTCTTGCAATGATGATCGTTGCTCTTACGTTGTCCATTCCAAATGTGCAACTCATGAGACAATTTGGGATCGGAAAGAACTCGAATGGGAGCCGGAAGAACTTGACGAAACACAAGATGTTGCGCCATTCAAGAATGTTGGTGATGATTTGATCGA